TTAAATTGATTAAATAAATTATCAGTGCGGCACCGATTTTTGCTAGTGCGGCACCCATGCGGCACTCTTTCAGCAGAAATATATCGGCACCGGTGCGCACGGGTGCCAATCGGCACTGGTTCGGCACTTGCTGGGCACGGGTGCGCACCGGTGCCAACCAGTGTCAGTGACCGATGGCATGCCATGCGCACCGGTGCGCACTGGCAGTGCCGCACTGGAATTTTTTTTATAGGGGTGTTCCTGTTGCGCTTTCTTTATATGAATGTGTACAATTTGTTGCAGGAAAATCGCCCATTGTATATAACAAAAAGCCATGATATCATTTTTTTTCACCATTGATAACAATATTAATTCCTTCAAACCACAGTTTTAACAATCCATTGATAAAATCAGACATTATTTGCACAATAGTTGTCTCAAGCATTGTTTTCTTCGGTACTACGGCTAGAAGACGCTTCGATAATTGTTTGGAACGTTGATCTCTACAAGATTTAATAATCCTCAATAAAATAAGAATAATTTATGTTTACGGTTTGTAACTTGATTCGTTATAGTTAGATGATCATACAACATCTCAAAAAATAATGCTTCCTTTTTCCAAGCAAGAAGAGATTTGGAAAATTTTGCATTCGTATAATCTAATATTTCAACACCATTAGAATTCATTAGAGGATTGGCTAAAGTGTTCTGAACTTCTGGTAGTAATATTATATTACGAACACTGGGAAGAAAAGGAATTTGTATATAATCAGTACCGTCTGCCTAAAAAGAATAAACAATAGAAATGGAACACATGTATACACCAAACTCGAACAGAGTCTCTACCATAAGAGTAACCATAGTCTTTCCTATTGTCCTAAATAATATTCAGTTTAGATGAACCAAACTCCCACGAAGTGATTGGAAGAAAGCTGACAATATACCATAGAGTCTATATAATCTACAATCCAACCTTTCCTATAACTAAACCTTGTTTGGAGCTACTGCAAAAGTTAATACAGAAAAATATCTTTGTTCACTTTTCCACGTTGTCGTTTTGGGCCAACATAATGAAAATGTTCGTTGATGAAACATTCTCTTCCATACGCACAACAGCATGCATCGAAAAGACTCGACGGTATAGAACCAAAATTCTAAAACAGAAACAATGCAACACCAGTTATTTTCCGCCGAAATCACTTACAATGACGGCTTTTTCTGTTAAATCAAGAAAACTAGTGAGAAACACGGCCACATGACCTACTGCAGTTTAGGCATGCACCGGTATCGGTATTCATACCGAAATACCGATACCAAAAATACCGAACTTCGGTATATACCGATACCGAAAATACCGACTTTTTTTGACTTTTGGATATTTTGGAATATTTTGGATTTTTTCATTTGAAATGAGGTATTTTAGCATCCTGGACAGGCAGAACGTATAAACAACACTCAGCTGTGTATTTTGAGCATGTTCAGATAGAAAGAAAAGAAAAACGTTGGCTTTAGAAAGCAAACAAAGCTCTTGTTTTCCGTCTCTGACTCATTCTGGGTGTCCAGGACGCTAAAACATCTCATTTCAAATGAAAAAATCCAAAAAATTCTAAGGGGAAAAAGTCGGTATTGTCGGTATCGGTATTTTCGGTATTCGGTATACCGATACCGGTGCATACCTACTGCTGTTACAGATACAAAAAATTTTGACTGTAACGTCATCAGCATAAACATGAGGTTCGTAGTAAGCTGTTGTTACACCAACACTCAACACCATAGCCAGGAGAACAGTGACAAAGATGTTAAGAGTAAACATGGCTTTTCCTCCTCTTTTTGTTCGATGCTCTGCGTGACTTTCGTATATATATATATATTTTAGTTCCTAATTCAGACTTTTTACACAACTAAATAGAGAAAACAGCTGTGATAAACTATGTATGGGTCCATCCCCCCTCCCTTTTATTTGAATATGTTGTACAGTTCGATGGACCACGCCACAATAACCCCCCTTTATGGGGTTACAAACTCAGCTGTGTATTTTGAGCATGTTCAGATAGAAAGAAAAGAAAAACGTTGGCTTTAGAAAGCAAACAAAGCTCTTGTTTTCTGTCTCTGACTCATTCTGGGTGTCCAGAACGCTAAAACATCTCATTTCAAATGAAAAAATCCAAAAAATTCTAAGGGGAAAAAGTCGGTATTGTCGATATCGGTATATACCGAAGTTCGGTATTGTCGGTATCGGTATTTCGGTATGAATACCGATATCGGTGCATACCTATGTTCGAGTGTATCTTCATGGCGATGGAAATGGTAGAGGGACTGACATGTTATTACTTAGGGCATACCAAAAGTAATGACGCCATCACTTTATTTCCTTATAGAAAGCTTGAAGAAATTTCCTTTTTTTATGCAATTACAGACAAAACGATGCTCTATTTTTCTATGCTATTTCATCACTATTCAACTAATATCATAACTATAAAATTTTCAAAAGAAAAAAAAAAGAGCTGTTTCTTACGATATGTCATGGTTATATAAATGCTGATATTTTTTGAATAAGTTTTGATAAAAACATGGTAGAGAGCTGCGGTTTGCACCATTGAAAAGAGGAGAAGAAGACGCATCGAACCGTATATTACAGATTTGTTAACCTGTTTTTTGTAAGGTTTTCAGTTGACCTTTTAAAGAACAAACCTTTCTCGTGGGTTTTGACAGTGAATTTTCAATAATCAGGTTCACATTCTAACCGCTGCTCAAAGATCTGCAAACTGTGAAAGACTGAGGTGTTTGAATTTAATTATTTAGGGATAATATGTATTCTCGTCGAACCTCCAATACGATTTTCTAGCAAATTCTTCATTAAAAATGCATTTTTCAGACGGTTAGAAAATTGAATAAAAAAAACTTGGAAAATCATACTAGAAAAATCTTAATATACGATTTGATGCACCTTCATCTCCTCTTTCCAACCGTAAAAGCCGCAGTTCTCTATCTTGTTTCTACGAAGAGTTATTCAAAAAATACTCACGAACATTCATGTTACCATCACACATGCGAAAGCAACAGGTCTTATCGAAATTTTATAATTATGACATTAGGTGAATAGTGATGAAATAGCATAGAAAAATAGAGCATCGTTTTGTCTATAACTGCATAAAAAAAGGAAATTTCTTCAAGCTTTCTATAAGGAAATAAAGTGATGGTGTCATTACTTTTGGTATGCCCTAAGTACTTTTCGAACAGCCAATCTCTAAGCAAAATGGCGAATGCTCAGTCTGAACGGCAGACGAGTATTTATGCACCCGCATTCTATTCATCACCAAAGTGGATATGAGATGCATGTTCGACTCTATCTTAATGGAGATGGAAATGCTAGAAAAACTCACATGGAATTCCTTTTCGAACTTATAAGCGATGATGTGGATTCTACACTCAAACACCCATTTATGTTAATGTGTAAGTAAAATGGCCGATGCTCAGTCTGAACGGCAGACGAGTATCTATTCACCAGTATTCTATGCCTCACCAAAGTGGACATGAAATGCATGTTTGACTCTATCTTCATGGTAATGGAAGTGCTAGAAGAACTCACATGTTGTTACTTTTTGAACGTTTCAGAGATGATTTGGATTCTACAGTCAAATAGCCATCTGCTTTAATGTCTAGGATAAATAGATGATGCTCAGTCTTAACGGCAGACGAGTATTTATTCTATTCATCACCAAGGTGGATATGAAATGCGTGTTCCACTCTATCTTCATGGCGGAGGAAATGCTAGACGAACGGACGTGTTGTTACTTTTCGAATTTATCAGAAATGATAAATTCGAATTGGATTCTATACCCAAGCAGCGATTTACTTTAATTTTGTGAGAAAAATGGATGATGCTGAGTCGGAACGGCAGACGAGTATCTGTTCACCAGTATTCTCTTCCTCACCAAAGTGGACATAAAATGCGTGTTCGACTCTATCTTCAGATGGAATTTCTAGAAGAACTTACATGTTACTACTTTTTCAACTTATGAGAGATGATTTGAGTTCTACACACAAACAGCCACCTACTTTAATCTCTAAGAAAAATAGCCGATGCTCAGTCTGAACGGCAGACGAGTATTTATAAACGCACATTCTATGCATCATCATAGTGGATATGAAGTAAGTTTAATTTTTTAGAAAAGACGCTGGATGCTCAGTCGGAACAACAGAGTATTATTGACTCTTCGGTTGTATTTTCAAGTATATAATATGGTTTGTGTCGCAGTTATTATTGAAGTCGTTGAGGGTTTTGCTGAAAAGAGCGGGAACATGTATTAAATTCCATTAGAGTGCTGATCAGCTTGCGTTGAGAGTGGCATCAACCTAAAGTCTTGACTGTTTGACTCGAGGCATTCATTCAAAAAAATTTTCAGTTACTGATACGAAAAGATTACAATTTGTAAGATTAAATTTATTTAACATACAATATGTCCACGTGCCTAGTCAGAACTGCCCACTGTGCGTCTTTGCTTTAGTCTTTGTTAAGAAGGAAAGTACCGAACGATATACAGTGCAAAAAATATAGTATTTTACTTGTATTGAGAAATGACTAGAAGTATGAAAAAATCTGGCATGAAAAATCAAATGTATAGATAAGGATTATAACTTATAATTTTACTGTATGATCTAAATGAGTAAATTTGCTTTGTGTCTTTTTATCATAGATATAAAAGGAAGTAAAATGGATTTTAATACTCTATTAAAATATATTTATAAGGAAGAACATATAATTTCAAAAGTTAAATCATATGATGAAACTGTAGATATTGAAGTACAATGACTCAGCTGTAATTTAATTTTAATAGATAATCAAATATTTTTGCCATATAAAGAAATATCGTTACAAAATATAGATCCTACAGTACAATGGAAAATGAGCCATATTCACATCGTGGTGAGGGCGCTGTGTGCTGGCGGTCAAACGACTTCAAACCTGGTCGTACGTATGCGTGTATTGTATAGAGAGAAGGCAAGAAAATAGTACCAAGATGTATGGTGACAATGATATAGTTGATGAAATAAAAGTAATACAAAAAATTGTTCATGTATTCATAACAACATTAAGAATATGTCTTTTAAAATATGAAAATAATAATGAACTATTATGTGAAAAAAATGTACATTTAATTGAATTAATATCGTTATTTCATTATTCACGTTTATTTGTTGATAATGAACAAATAGCAGATATTATAAACAAAAATGGTTTACAATCATATATCAATTTACATAATATTATTTTTGATGACATACGTGAATATGAATATAATAACTATATTTATATTAATAATATGATGAATAACTTTCATGTGGAGTATTTTAAAAATATCATTATGAATTCAAAATGTTTTCTATCTATATTATTGTTAACATATAATGAGAAGTGTAATATATGAAGATTCTTCAATTGAACAATTAAACGTTATTAGAAATAAATTAAATGTATGTGATGTTAAATTACCTATACTTGGTGTAGCTGGATTAAATTATGTCATTTATCAAGATAAAGCAACATTAACTGAACATAATTGGTCAAAAATAACTACAGATACAAGATTACTTATAAATTTGATTTATAAATTTTTTCATATATTTGTACGATCTTATTCTAATGATTTTTCATGTGGTACACCTCATCGAGTTAAATCTTTGGAAGGTGGATATTTGTTTGAGAAACAAGTTTTTGGTACAATAAAATATAATTTTTGGTATAATGCCAGTTGTTGTCAATTGATTTACAAGTGATATATTAAAAAAATTAGAAGATGTGAGTAAAAAGAATCGAAAATTTCATAGAAATATTAAAATATATACAATTTTCTGGGATTGAACATGGTTGTAATAGAAAACAAGCAAATAATGACTAATATGCATGCTCTCAAACAGCTCGAAGAGTGCGAAACGCAATAATCAATATTAATCAGATGTTATATTGTAAATACAAGTGTGAAGCTGTTTTGTTTTACAAACGCAAATATGATATATAGTTCTGTTACACTTTGGTATCAACAACTAAGATATTATCGTAAAATATGTTACAATAACCTCCTAATCGATTTAGACTCACATTTACATTATTCCTCCGTTTTCTTTATTTTTTCAAATTACCATAAAATGACATGCTGAATCTGAATTTCAGATTAGTTTGGATTCAATATTTATGAGCAACTGAGGATTTTGATGGGATTTCTAGAAAACCACCACAAGAAAAACCACCTGGCCATAGTCAATACCTTGCGCCTTTTGTAGCACGGGTCGAGTAATGTGTGGCTAACAAGATCTCGAAGAACTGATGGGTAGTTTTCGATGGAGGAGGCCAGGAAGGACCAAAGTAGGTCTCAGGCTACGCTCACTATGCAGAAGTAAAAACTGCTACAGACTTCATTGCTGCGTCATACGAACAAACTTAAAGTTACGTTTTGTTGGATTTTGAGCTCGTCCAGCACGCTATAAAACGAGTAATATCTGCTAATGCAAATAAGGTCCTCCACTCAAAAATACTTTCTGACTGTTAGAGGAGAAAATCTCATTTGCGGATAGAAATATGCAACTTTGTATGCTCTTTCCAGTTAGCAGTATGAGAACGCTTGATAGTATTAGATAAGGTCAGATTTCGCTGTTCTGACACCTCCAAAAACGCTTCAATTTAGAACTTAAGGCCGATGAAAAACCGTGTTCGGAATAATTTTTCCATGGGATGACAGGGATCTTTACATACCTTTAGTAGGACTATCGATTGCATATAGTCAAACCTGCCAGGATTTAAGTCATGTATAAAGTGGGCGGACCTGTACGAAAGTATCCAGCTGGATAATATTTCCTCTTTCGGAGAATGACCTTCGAAATTCTTTTAATATACATTGCTGATGGACTGAAAAAATCTTAACACGATGAAGGAGTTTTCAAGATTCTGTATAAGTGAAAGGCGATGATAGTTGGAAGACTGTCATGTTTAAGGGTCTACCCTCTCAGAAATTATCTCCAATACCGTACATCCGATCTTGACGAAACTTTGAATAATTGTTCGGCTTAATGAGTTACGGAAATGAAAACTTTTTTCGTCTCGAAGTCTTACAGTTCAGGAGTTTTGCAGAGATCAATGTCCAAAAAGGACCCTGAAGTACTTCCCCAGATATTTTAATATACTTCAAGCTGGAGAGTTCGGCTTTGTTTTGTTTTAAGCTAGACACCTAACTACACGGTCCTAACTACACCGGCGCCGATTTTTCAGTTAAGCCTTTATTGGTTTTCCAGGTAGCCAACAACCTCCAAAACCCGAGAACGCCTTTCGGATTTTCTAAGAGACCTCAATTTGATAAAAAACTAAGAGCTAATTCAAAAATCGGCGCCAAATAGTTTCTTTTCCTCTTTACAACAAAAAAAGAATAACTCTCTACGACAAACCGCTACTAAAAATCTTGGAAAATACTTCAGGTGTAACTCTTATATAGAGAAAACGCTGTATGAAATACTCAATTTTAGAACTTCTAGGAAAATACCTGTAACTTTTTGATGCAAGGCCATACAGAGTTGTGCGAAGTCTTATTTTGATCAGAAAAGTTTGCTCTACAAATCTGAGTGTTGAGAAAAACTTTAATTGCATAAGTATCCGGGAAAAAACTATAATTTGAAGACTTGGTTTTCGAGGCTCCTCGAAAACTGGCTTAAAAGCCGCAGAAAACCGCTTTTGTAACCAAAATTGATACAGATTCTGAAAATAGACACTTCATGCTATCTTTCCATGTGCGTATCTCAAAACCGATTTTTTGACCTAAAACCACCATTTCTGAGGGGTAGACCCTTAAACATGACAGTCTTCCAACTATCATCGCCTTTCACTTATACAGAATCTTGAAAACTCCTTCATCG